ATATTACATTGCTCATTTCTGTAACCAGTTACTGTATTTTATTGCTGAATTCTGTTATTCTTTGTATTTTGCACCTCACGGATCACGAAAATATAAAAAAAAATAAATATGTAGAAAAAAGGATCACGATAGCGAAAATTCGCCGATCACGAAGAACGAAAATAACCCATCAGGCCCCTCATTATTGTCTATTCTTTATAGTTTTGATCATTTTTCTCTATTCATCTTTGTTTAGACCCCATTTATACCCTCGTCTGTTTCGGTTTTAACATTTTTGACTTATCGGCTTATGATACTGAACGGTGCTAGTTTAGGATGCCGGCTAGCCGGGTTTGATAAAAAAAACAGCATATTTTGTTATGTACATTGACAAGGGGGTGACAAGTTTTTGGGATGTGGGATTAGTATGGGTGGTAGAAAAGTGGGGATGTGGGATATAGGTGATAAACAAGAGGGATCTGGGAAAAAGAAGGGGAAAAAAAAGCGGGAAGTGGGAAAAAATTACAAAAAAAGCGAGATTTTGGAAATGAGCACCTCCGTGTCACCCCCTCACTGACGTCAAAAAAGCACCTTTAACCTTGACGTTATATACACGTGGTTATCGAACCTCGATTTGACTGAAAGTAACGTCTAAATTCCGCCATAAAAAGACAGAGAAAAAAGTTGTAATTTTTGTCATTTAATGTAGGTATTTTTTAACATTGTAAACTATCAACAATACTTAATGGTATCTGCAAAGTACATATTGTGATGAATCAATATGTCAAACTGTACATTCATGATGATGTGTGCCTAAAGAAATCTTGCTAGACGAAATTAAATTTCTGGAAATAAACATGTAGAATATGGGCGGGATATAAACAAAGCAATGGCGATACATCGATAAATTCCTATCTTATTATTATATTAAAGATACATGTAGAATTCCTGTTTATTATACATTGTAGTTATTTTCGCGGCTGACTGAAGCAGAAAACTTGTAAGTTGTATGTATAAATGTAAGACAGTGAAAAGAAAGAATTGGGAGGGGCTTTACCATCGAATATATAATATATAACAACTAACCAAGTGCTTGTGCAGTACACAGGTATGATCAGTAACAAATGGTTAAATAAGAGACTCATGCAGACAATTCAGGAGAAGGAACAAAAGGGCTATTTTTGATCCCTGGAATCCATGCAACCTGGCTAAACAGAATCCAATAAGTGATTGTAAGCACAGGAGCGTGGATATATATAGTTTGGATTTTTTTTTCATTGTTTGCACTGAATATATTCAATTTTCCATGAAATATTTGCCACTGGACATTAAGGAACCAATAACTGAATAAGCAATAAATCAAAACATTGAGTCTAGTCAAATAATGTTGAAGACATTTAAAACAAATAAACTGCAAAGTAAATTATTTTTACTGGTGAATTATTGAAAAAATATGTTTTTTTTCAACCACTTTTAAAATGTATCTTATTATTGTGTCTGTTGTTCAAACAAAAATAATAAAAAAATCCAATATTAAATTACAAAGAAAAGGAGATCAGATGTGGGGTAAACAATGCAAGCATCTTAGATTTTTTCTTTTAATCAAAATTTTGGAAAGTGCTTTTGATTGGATCAATAGTACTAACTCTTGGTTAGTAACTTTTCCATGAGAGGAATAAGTTGCTTGAGGGATCAAATTCATTGATAATTAGGTATCCAGAAAAGATGCTTACCAAAAGTTATGCCTTTTATGTAATCTTTAGCATGTATATTTTTCCTCTAAAATCCAAAACAAATTTTTGCACAGTAAATTTCCAATTTGGCAACATATGGTCACATATAATGAGAGGAAAGTACTTTTGTTTGGATCAAAAGTACCAACTTTTGGTTAGCAATTTTTCCATAAAATGAATAAGTTGCTAAAGGGATCAATTTCATTGATAATGAGGTATCCAGAAAAGTTACTTACCAAAAGTTATATGCCTTTTTTGTAATCATTTGCACATTGTTTTATTTCCCCTAAAATTTTTGCACAGTAAATTTCCAATTTTGGCACATATGGTCACATATAATAGTCAACAAAAGAAACGATACAAGGAAATGTATTTTCCATATAAAATGAAATTGGATACACTGTACCAAGGTCAATAATTGCCCAATTGGTCTAATATTTACAGAGTGTTATTTTCTTATCAAAACCATTGATTTAAGACAAATACGCAAATTTATTTTTTTTGCAGTTTTTGTTATTTCAAAAATTGTATTTTCACACAAAAATTCAAAAAGTGATATAATAACTTAAAACTTTAAACGTAAACATGGTCTGCTTAAAATTTTGAATGCATTTGCAGATATTTAAATACTTAATTCTCATCTTCCAAATTAAGTGCCAACTTTTGACATCATTTTCCGCAAAATAAATTTGACCCCTGTGTTCAATAACATGGTATTTTCTCACTTTCCAATTTTGTCAGATTCTTTTAATCATATGCATTTGCTTTGCAAATGAATGTTTTTCATTGGATAATTCAACAGTTTTTTCTATTTATTATATTTTATGATAAATTGGAGTTCAATCTTGTGTATCGTTACTTTTGTTGACTATAGTATATATTGAGAGGAAGATCTCTATTGATTTCGTGGTCACAATCAAAGGTCAAGGCCTTAGTTATTAAAATTAGACCAAAATTTGTGTAATAAAAGAGCCTCTGGATGCAACATCAAATACTACATATGGGATTGCAACTTTTCTTGGATAAATGGTCAAATATATATGTGATGGAAATCCCTAGTGATTTTGAGGTCACATTATACCTGTAGTGGGAATAAGATCCTTGTTGATTTTGAGATCAATACCTCAAAGGTCAAGGTAATAGTTACTAAAGATAGACCACAATTAGTACAGACAAGTGGCTGCTGGATGCTAAATCAATTACTGTCTATATGGAATAGACACCTTACTTAGATATACAGTCACAATATAATGAAAGGTAGATCCATAAGATATAGATTTTGAGGTCACTATATCTAAGGTAAGGGTCATAGTTACTAAAAATAGATTTGTGAAATACAGTATAATAATATTAGTCTAAAATCATAACAGAAAAGAATGATACCATAATGTTAACAGAAAACAACTGCTATCAGGTCAATAAAAGCTTTCTTGTTTACAGGGGGGTGTTGACTATGTGACCTTGATCACTAAATGGTCTTTAATTATTTCTTGGACCATTCTGGATTGTAGTGGATCTTACTGAGATTGAAATTTTTTTAAATAAAAGACAAACTATCATTTAAGCATTTTAAATTATAGCCATAACTTTCATGGGTGCATTCTATTTCTCATCACTTGGCGTCTGTTGTCCGTAGTCATCTGTTTAACTTTTACCATTTTTAAAAATTTTTTGCCTATTATCTCAAAAATTATAATAGATAAACAGAAACTTTAGATAGCAAAAATTATTAGGAAGACAAGATCTACAAATCAGTCAACATAACCACAATTGTCAGACTGCTTATTATACCTCACACAACGAAGTTGGGTAGGGTATAATGTTTTTGACCCGTCTGTCTGTCAGTATGTCTGTCCATCAGTCCGTCTGTCTGTCTGTCCGTCAGTCCTGTCTTTGTCATCACAACTCCTGAAACCACACAACAGAATTTCATGAAACTTTGTAAATAATAAGGACATACTGTGTAGATGTGCATATCGACAGGATATTATGATATCAATTTTTTTCTAGGTGTTATGCCCATTTGAACTTAGAATTTTGGTCTAAATATTCTACTGCAACAGTTTGTCATTGCAACTCCTCTAAAACCACACAACAGCAATTCATGAAACTTTGTAGTTAATGAAGACATGATATGTAGATGTGCATATCCACAAGAAATTTTTATCAGTTGATTTTTTAGGAGTTATGAGTCTATGAACTTAGGAATCTGGTGAGATTTTGTTTGCCCAGTCACGGCCAGTGACAATGTTGGGGTGTGGGATATGTGAGCATGCTCACAAAGGTTCTTTAATTAGAGATATTGCCCTTAAATGATGATTTTTACCAATTTTTTTTGTGTTATTGACTCATATCTTAAAAACTATGATAGATAAGATAGAATCTTTAAACAGTATAAATGATCAGCACAACAGGATCTACAAATAAGTCAACATATCCAAAATCTTCAGTTGACTCCTTATTAGAGTTATTGCCCTTTAATGACGATTTTCCCAATTTTTATGCATTTTGGCTTACATCTTAAAAACTATAATAGATATATAGAAACTTTAAAAACAAAAATGATCAGCAAGACAAGATCTACAAATAAGTTAATAAGACAAATATTGTTAGTCGATTCCTTATTGAAGTTACTGCCCTTTAATCACCAGTTTCCCATTTTTTCCCATTTTTGCCTATTATTTCGAAAACTGTTGTTGATAAATAGAATAATCAGGAAGGTAAGATCTACAAATAAAGCCATATGGCCAAAATCTTCAGTCGACTCGTTTTTGGAGTTATTGCCCTTTAATGATATTTTTTTTGCATTATGTGCCTATTATCTTGAAAACTTAAGATAATAGAAACTTTAAAAAGAAAAAATTTTCAGTAGGATAAGATAGATCTACAAATATGTCAACATGACTGAAATTGTCAGTTAACTCTTAATAGAGTTGTTGCCCTTTAATGATGAGTATTTTGAATATAAAAAGCCCTGCTGTAAGGGGTCTTGTATTAAGGGGATTGCCATATGATTTCCTTGGTGGGCCAGAAGAATTTTTCTCTGACAGAATATTCTATTCACCCTTCTAGCCTGACTTATTTAGAGGCTAGGCAAAGCAGAGGATCACTTTTTTTCACTTTTGTACAAACTTTAATAATATCCTGCATTTTGTGGGGCAGAATATTAATTTTTATCTTATCTGGATCAAGAATATTTATTTTCACTTCTTACAAGGCCAACATATTCATTTCCAAACCCCTCCTATTTTCATTATAACAAGCAGTGTTATCTATTTTTTTTCCAGTATGCCTCCAGACTCTAAACAAAGACAAAGAGAATGTCAAAAATGTCTTGCTCATGGTGTCCATGTTAGATTCAAAGGTCACAAGTTTGGATGTTTTTTTCGTGACTGTCAGTGTCAACGATGTCAGGTTGTTAGTATAAAACGCCAGAAAAACAAGTTAGTAACTGCTCAGAAAAGACGACTAGAAATGGATAAAGTAAAAAAATTCGAAACAGAACAAGCAAATGGGAAAGGAAGTGGAGAAATCTCGGGTAATATTCTAAGAATAAAAGTAAGATAATTAGATTGTGTTACCTGCTGATGGCAATGGGTAAAAGCTGTTAGTTACTGGGAAGGAAATATAAATCAGGCAGGCTTCCCCAGAATCAGTTGTTGTTTATCAAGGAATTTAACTTTTTGCATATTTTTAGTGAACGGTCCCATTGAATAAATACAAAAGCTATTGTTGTCTTTGGAGTTCTTTCTGACAGTTGGAACTTTAAAGTTCTCCTTGGAAAACCAATAATTCATTTATTAATTTGGCTGAACTAAAAATAAACTCCTACTGATGAAAATACATATACCAATAAGGACCTGTTCAAAACTGCATGTGATGTTGTATTTATTTAATATCAACTAATTTATAAATGTAAACTGTAATAACAGTCTGTTGTTTATACTTGGTTACTAGATTGTATGAGGGAAATATTGACTGCATTGTTAACTCACCTTTAGTTTGCTCACTATAACCATAATAAACTGATATAATTTTGCAATATGTTCCATTTAAAGCAAAACTGCCTACAGAACCTTTCCCCTTAAATATGTACAAAAGTTTAATTTTTCAATATGTTCAATAATAACCAAAACAAAGTGAATTTCTGGTATTATGAGAAATTTGTAATGTTCCTGAGTTATTTTGTGACCTCCAAATTATCTTAAAATTAGGTACCAATGATTAGGCTGTCCTGAATTTATTCTATGTGTAACATCAATAATAACCCTATAGTTTTGGGAAACAAATGAAAAATAAATAAACAATATTAAACAGATGTTTCCTTTCAGAAAATGAGAAATTGACTGGTCTTTCGAACACAAAGACATTTTTCAAACAATGGTCACCCATTTTGATAAGAAATTTCAGCTGTTTTGTTATCATTCTTTTGAAATATTAGGTATTATTACTGGACCTCTTAGCTAAGTTTAGCCGCATGAGATGCTATATATTAAATGTTTGGGGTTTTTTCTTTGTTTATCACTTTTCTCTTTCCCTCTAAGGTTTTGCATGATTTAATTAAAGTTAAAAAAAATTCAAATTGGGACAGCATTTCTATGAATTTAGAAGGCCATTTCTTGTGAATCTGTACAAAATGAAGTTCCTGTACATTCATCCATCAGGGGTCCTTCCATCTGGCCTTGTAAACGCACTCACATGCACAGTTCTTGCCATATTTTTATCAAACTTATATCAGAGGTTTATATTAGCAATGTCTTAGACAAGTTCGAAAATCAGTGCAGATCAAATATATTTAAAAGAGTTATATACCCTTGGATATATTAATTTTCAAACCTACATTTATATCCTATTTCTAGACAAATTTAAATATAAAAATTATAGCATCTTTAAAATGAATGACTATACTTGTTGGGGAACACAAAAAAAATCCTGTAATTTAAAGTAGATTTTTTTTCAAATCAAACAAAAGGAATAATCATAAAAAATGATTTTCTATTTCTAAATGACTAATTCCTCAACAGAAGTCTGGTGACTTAAACATTTTGGTGATTTTCATGACTTCCAAGTGGAGATAACTCTAGATAAATTTAGTGAAAATTAAGTGATTCATCATTTTCTTTTAAAACTTTTACTTGTTAGCTGCCAATGATAGAAAAAATATTCATTAGTTTATGCTGATTAATTTTTAGATATATTGCCTGTAAATAACCTCTATTGGAGTAGTGTCTTCAGATTAATTGTTGATTTGGTTTAGATTTATAAAGATCTATTCTTTATATGTAACTGGAGTGCATGATTCTTATTAGAAAATCACATTGTCTCCTCCAGGACTCAAACCCAAGATCTCTGTTCCAAGTCGGTGCTCTAACCGACAGAGCTTAAGAAGAAATTCCCTAGCTCGATTACTGCCTAAAGCTGGCTAAGTATCTACTACTCATGGGAAGCAATCCTGTCACGCATAAGATGCGACAGTATCTGAGTTTCACAATAGTTAAAACTTGCATTCATAATTTTAGAAGTGATTTTCCTTCACAAAATATTGGCAATTGCATTATATAGACCTCAGGTTTTTACCAGTTATCACAGTGGGAAATCTAGTGGCTGAGAACAATAGAAAATTCACTCTTCTTGTGAAGAAGTCGAGAAAATCAATAATAAAACAATGCCTGTCAGGATCAAAATTTTTTTTTGAACAACAAGCGTAAAATTTAAAGAAATTATTTGTTAAACTGTGTTTTTAGAAATATACATGCAAATACACAATGTTTAATGTTCAGTATAGATTTAGATTATAAATTGCATTAGAAGCTTGTGAAACTGAAAAATGAAAAATGTTAATCTTTGACTGCATATTAATAAAACAAATTGAAAAAGAAAACATGCACATACTAGATTAAATCTAAAGACCTTTCAGGCCACCAATTTTGAATTGTTCCCCAAAGTCCTTATTGCTGCATGTTACAATTTCCCAAAATTTACCTATTTTTCACATCAAAGTTTTTCAACTATACCAGTCTGCTCTTGTCAACTACACAGAGAACAATAGCTATTGTATTTATTCAATGGGACACTAGAACTGACAAAAGTTTAAATACCTTACCAAGAGGAGATGATTCTATGGAAAAGTTTCATTTGGTTCGCAATAATCTTTGTTGCATATCAATCGATTCCTTTGGAATTTTTCCTGAAATTCTCTGATCTAGCTGCATACATATACAGATAATTGCCATGTTCCAGAGAGGTATACAGCCAGTAGAAAAATAAATTGAAATTGTTACTCCAGCAATATTTTAAACCAATTTTACACCAAGCTCCTATAGCCTGCTGTATTTGTCATTTGCCATTTCAAGGGGGAAATCGGAGGTGGATTTAGGGGGTGGGGCCCAGGGTGGGTCCGGGCACCCTGGGCCCCACCCACTAATTTCTGAATTTACAGTATTTAAAGGGGGAAATCGGAGGTGGATTTAGGGGGTGGGGCCCAGGGTGCCTGGACCCACCCTTTAGTGGGAAAAATTTGGTTGATTATATAGGAAATCACTGAGGCATGACTGGAGCTGGCCCCCTCTTAGGCAGTCAGTGGGCCCGCCTTATGACAATTTCTGGATCCGCCACTGGAAATGTTAACAATAAATGGAGATTTTGTTTTTATTCTAATTTATTTTTATTTTTACTATAACAAGAACGTTTTCTCTTGAATTTATAATTGATAGTGTCCTTGCTAAAACAGGACAAACATTGAAAAGATCAAGTTTTCAGTGTTTAATACAGGGGAGGTAATATTTTGTCACTAGATTTCCCACTGAATCGGTGATTCACAATAACAAATGCTCCCATTTAACGGCATTAATTTCTGAATTTACAGTATTTACAAATGATTACAGGTAAAAGTATGAAATCATATGAGGCAAACACGCATGTGGCAATATCCAATTCAACAAAACTATAACGTACAACATCTTGAGATCACTGCGTGGTCTACAAATGCTAATACTCAAATACAATCGAGCAAGTTCAAGAAGGCCCTGCAATCAGCAAAAAAAAATAAATAGTTAAATACCACATTATTATTGTTGAATAAAGGCAAGTTTTATTGTATACAAAAGTGTGTAAAAAAATGCCAAATTTTACCCACAATTTGCAACATCATATGAACCTCAAAATGAGAAGCCTTAAACTCTAATATGACAGCAAAAATTTCATAAAGTATTTGAAGATTTTTTAATCTATTTGTAGATTCAGAAGAAAACCAGTTAATAATTGATGAGAGTAGCAATCAACAACAAATTCAATTATCTGACAGAAGAGCTGTATATTGCCGTAGATGTCAGATCCATGGCGTTAAAAATCTGGTGCGTGGACACAAGGATAGCTGTCCATACAGAGGTTGTTGGTGCACAGAGTGTAGAATAATAAGTAAGTCTTAATAGAAAATGGTTCTGTTCAAAGAATAGATTCCATAATAGACTTAAACTTCTGTTATTAAGGTTTTTGCTATAAAAACTGGATACCAAATCATACCATAGATAACTTATAATACATCAACAGCCAAAAGCCAACTTATCCAAGACAGTCATTCCCAAGGTCGCCGGACATTGGACAAAGACCAGTAAAAATTGGTTTGGTCCAGTTAAGTGATATGCATTACTGGACCAAATGATCAGTAAAATTTTTAATTTTGTCCAAATCATATGTGTAAATGTCCTGTAATTAATAAAGAGTCTGGTCCAGTTAAAAAGAATTGAAATGTCCAGTTGATTTCTCAAAGCCTTGGGAACCACTGCCAAGAGTGAAAACGTGTAATCAGACAATCTATAAAAACAACCAATAAACAATTGTTCTCAGTACTCTCCAGACCATGGGGTACATATTAAAATAGAGTAAAAAAGAACTGCAAACTAGATGACTTATTAACTTAGAAGCAAGATGTGGCATACAATTTGGAAATCATGTTCAAAATCTTCTTGTTTACAGGTAGTTAATATGATATAGCTATTTGTTTAAAACTAATATTCCAGAATACATTATTATAGACAACAAGGCTAGTATGACACCCTAATTCATTATCAGATTTGCATAAATGCTCAATATTTATATCACAGCGATATAGCCTTTTTGTGCTGATGCGGCGTAAAGGAATCACCAATCAATATTTATATACATTTGTACATGTAAATTAATTTTTCAATAAGGCAAAAAAAAATAATACATGCGTTTCTGTGATGTGCTGAAAAAAATAGGGTAGGTAGGAAGGCAATATCATTTTATTTCACAAACATTTTTTAGCTGGTTACTACTAGGGAATCAGTCTGACTTTAACAGTGCTTGTTCCAAAATGGCATAAAAAGTGTAAGGGTAGGTAGGGTTAGCAGAAACATATGTTTTATTTTTTTTGGCCAAATATATGATCATTATATTTTTCAGATTCTCAGTCCTCTGTGTGTAGCCACTGTGGATTTTATCCACCAGTTACACCCTATCCACGACCATACCCACCATCACTTAATTGGGTAAGTTTGTATTCATGTATTATGTGAAAATCTGTTTATTTCTTCCCATATTAATCATTATGGGTAAAGGCTGTCCATATTTCTGACTTAGGCTTGCTGTCTATCTGTTTTCTATTACAAAATATATAGTTGACATTAATGACACTAGCATGGTACCAAACTTTACAGAAAAACCTCATTCCAGATATAGAGAATTGCAAGCACCATTCTAGTTTAACCTTCCCATGACAATAGTCATAGATAGGGAATTAGGCTGGCTGTTTCTTGTGTTGGTAATGTCAACAAACATAAATAAGATAATTAGGTAACATAGGCAAGACATATCTCTGTGTTTTAAAACAGTTTTTTGAGGTTTCTCATTTCAAAACAGAAACTGTCCTTTCTAGTTACATTTTGCAATACTTTCAAACTACACCTTGAATGCAAAGCACTCACTAAATGGATTTTATGGATGGATTTAAATCGGAATAGAACTAAATTTGTATAGATAAGTCAGCCAAAAACTTACACAGCATTCTTTCTTTGTTTTAATATTCTACAGGATATGACATCTTCATGAATATTATAACTCTTTATTGTTGTATCCTTGCAGAGCAGGTTTCAAGATTAACTGATTGCCCAGGACAAGTAAAATCATTCTTAAGCAACCAAAAGCTGCAATGTACTTGTCCAAAATAAAATAAGAAATAATCTTGTCTAAAGATATGGTTCCACTAAAGAATAGGGTTGGTAGGTAGGATATTTTTTATCTTTTAACTTTAATTTCTTATTGACAATAGATTTTAAAAAAGTATCGCTGAAACTTCATTATTATTTGAATAAACACCTCTTTCACAGTAACTTAAGTGAGTTTGATACCTTTATGAAAAATGAGTTTTAATTTTTTAAACAGTTGCTGCATCAACAGAACAATACAGCATGTGGAGGAGGTAATGTAATCAATGATTTTGTTTGCCTTATTTAATATGTTTAAATATCAAGCTGTAATATTTAAATAGATTGATTGATTAATGTTTAATGCCACTTTCAGCACTATTGGCTATTTACTGGCGGTCAGTTTTTATAGGTGGAGGAAGATTTTTATTGGTGGAAGAAGCTGGAGTGCTCACAGAGAACCACCGACCTTCGGCAGGAAAACTGACAATCCAAGTCAGTTAAGATTAGAGTTGAATTCACCTGCCACGTACAGGGTTCAAACTCACAACCTTATAGTGTTGACAGTCTTTATATTTTAAAAAATGTTTGTCATATTTAATTCTAATTTTAACATATTTTACAAATTACAATGAATTTTCACATATTTGCATTTTCAGAATGAATATTGAAGTACAAAAGTTTTTACTTTTACACCTGCACCTTTTTTGTTTGGGTGTTGCTATTATGAAGAGTACATTTTCTAATAAGTGACTAGTTTTTTTTGCAAAGGGTTTTTGTAAATGGATTAAACACAGTTATATAGGAAAAGCTTTGGTTCCTTATCTATACAATGCAAATGGCACATGCAAGCATAATGTATTGTCCTAGATTTGATCTAATTTTGACTCTGTAAGTGCATCATACATTCATGGTAAACAGGCATTGTGAAATCAGTAGGTTATTAGGGACCTAAAATTCTTAGCAGCTTACATTATAACCATTATCCTATATGTGCTTCTTCCATAAGAAATTGAAAGATTTTACATACAAGTTATCTCCATTTTCAAAAAATTCTGAAGTTTTATAGAAACTACTCAAAAGTTATCTACCTTTACAAAATATTCTAAAATTTTATAGAAACCATTCAAAAGTTATCTCCCTTTGCAAAAAATTCTGAAGTTTTACAGAAACCCCTCAAAAGTTATCTACCTTTACAAAAATTCTGAAGTTTTATTGAAACCATTCAAAAGTCATCTACCTTTACAAAAATTCTGAAGTTTTACAAAAACCCCTCAAAAGTTATCTACCTTTACAAAAATTCTGAAGTTTTATAGAAACCCTTCAAAAGTTACCTACCTTTACAAAAATTCTGAAGTTTTATAGAAACCCCTCAAAAAATTATCTACCTTAACAAAAAATTCTTAAGTTTTATAGAAACCCCTCAAAAGTTATCTACCTTTAAAAAAATTGTGAAGTTTTATACAAACCCCCCAAAAGTTATCTACCTTTACAAAAATTCTGAAGATTTATAGAAACCCCTCAAAAGTTATCTACCTTTACAAAAATTCTGAAGTTTTACAGAAACCACTCAGTTATATACCTTGACAAAAAATTCTGAATTTTTTATAGAAACCCCTCCAAACTTATCTCCCTTTGCAAATATTCTGAAGTTTTATAGAAACCCCTCACAAGTTATCTACCTTTACAAAAATTCTGAAGTTTAATAGAAATCACACAAAAGTTATCTACCTTTACAAAAAATTCTGAAGTTTTATAGAAACCCCTCAAAAGTTATCTACCTTTACAAAAATTCTGAAGTTTTATAGAACCCCCTCAAAAGTTATCTACCTTTACAAAAATATTGAAGTTTTTAAGAAACCCCTCAAAAGGTTATATACCTTAACAAAAAATTCTTAAGTTTTATTGAAACCATTCAAAAGTTATCTCCCTTTGCAAAAAATTCTGAAGTTTTATAGAAACCCCTCAAAAGTTATCTACCTTTAAAAAAATTCTTAAGTGTCATACAAACCCCCCAAAAGTTATCTTCCTTTACAAAAATTCTGAAGTTTTATAGAAACCCCTCAAAAGTTATCTACCTTTACAAAAATTCTGAAGTTTTATAGAACCACTCGGTTATCTACCTTGACAAAAAATTCTGAAGTTTTATAGAAACGCCTCAAAAGTTATCTCCCTTTGCAAATATTCTGAAGTATTATAGAAACCCCTCAAAAGTTATCTACCCTTACAAAAATTCTGAAGTTTAATAGAAACCCCTCGAAAGCTACCTACCTTTACAAAAATTCTGAAGTTTTATAGAAACCCCTCAAAAAGTTATCTACCTTTACAAAAAAATTCTGAAGTTTTATAGAAACCACTCAGTTATCTACCATAACAAAAAATTCTTAAGTTTTATAGAAACCCCTCAAAAGTTATCTACCTTTACAAAAATTCTGAAGTTTTACAGAAACCACTCGGTTATCTACCTTGACAAAAAATTCTGAAGTTTTATAGAAACCCCTCAAAAGTTATCTCCCTTTGCAAATATTCTGAAGTTTTATAGAAACCCCTCAAAAGTTATTTACACTTACAAAAATTCTGAAGTTTTATAGAAACCCCTCAAAAGTTACCTACCTTTACAAAAAATTCTGAAGTTTTATAGAAACCACTCAGTTATCTACCTTAACAAAAAATTCTTAAGTTTTATAGAAACCCCTAAAAAGTTATCTACCTTTACAAAAATTCTGAAGTTTTAAAGAAACCACTCGGTTATCTACCTTGACAAAAAATTCTGAAGTTTTATAGAAACCCCTCAAAAGTTATCTACCTTTAAAAAAAATCTTAAGTTTTATAGAAACCCCTCAAAAGTTACCTACCTTTACAAAAAATTCTGAAGTTTTATAGAAACCACTCAGTTATCTACCTTAACAAAAAATTCTTAAGTTTTATAGAAACCCCTCAAAAGTTATCTACCTTTACAAAAATTCTGAAGTTTTAAAGAAACCACTCGGTTATCTACCTTGACAAAAAATTCTGAAGTTTTATAGAAACCCCTCAAAAGTTATCTACCTTTAAAAAAATCTTAAGTTTTATACAAACCCCCCAAAAGTTATCTACCTTTACAAAAATTCTGAAGTTTTATAGAAACCCCTCAAAAGTTATCTATCTTTACAAAAATGCTGAAGTTTTACAGAAACCCCTCAAAAGTTATCTACCTTTACAAAAATTCTGAAGTTACAAGAAACTCCTCAAAAGTTATCTACCTTTACAAAAATTCAGAAGTTTTATAGAAACCACTCAGTTATCTACCTTAACAAAAAATTCTGAAGTTTTATAGAAACCCCTCAAAAGTTATCTACCTTTACAAAATTTCTGAAGTTTTACAGAACCCCTCAAAAGTTATCTACCTTTACAAAAATTCTGAAGTTTAATAGAAACCCCTCAAAAGTTATCTACCTTTACAAAAATTCTGAAGTTTTATAGAAACCACTCAGTTATCTACCTTAACAAAAAATTCTGAAGTTTTATAGAAACCCCTCAAAAGTTATCTACCTTTACAAAAAATTCTAAAGTTTTATAGAAACTACTCAAAAGTTATCTAACTTTACAAAAATTCTGAAGTTTTATAGAAACCCCTCAAAAGTTATCTACCTTTACAAAATTTCTGAAGTTTTACAGAATACTCAAAAGTTATCTACCTTTACAAAAATTCCGAAGTTTAATAGAAAACCCTCAAAAGTTATCTACCTTTACAAAAATTCTGAAGTTTTATAGAAACCACTCAGTTATCTACCTTAACAAAAAATTCTGAAGTTTTATAGAAACCCCTTAAAAGTTATCTACCTTTACAAAAATTCTGAAGTTTTATAGAAACCCCTCAAAAGTTATCTACCTTTACAAAAAATTCTAAAGTTTTATAGAAACTACTCAAAAGTTATCTAACTTTACAAAAATGCTGAAATTTTATAGAAACCCCTCAAAAGTTATCCAACTTGACAAAAAATTCTGAAGTTTTAAAGAAACCCCTTAAAAATTATTTCCCTTTGCAAAAAATCTTAAGTTTTATAGGAGTAATACCACCAATATTTTCCCCCTATTAGTCTTTGTTAAATTCTCATTTTTATTTTTTTTTAAATTGTGCAGAATTTATCTTTGTTTCAAATATTAAAGAAATACTTGGCATGAGTGAAGTTTGATCCTGTCCAGACTACTACAGTCAAAATTTCACATAACATTTCATTGCATATAAGATAATAACCATCACTGGAAGTTAACCAATCAAATTTTTTTCCCCTTTTTTTCCTGTTTAGTAACCATGCCACCTCAAGTTTCCAAAATATTTTATAGAAACACTTAATATAAAAAAAATCTTTGAATCACCCAAGATATATGTTTATGACTCAGAATTTTTTTTCTGCAATGAAATGCATGTAACGAGGTTTAATTTCCTACAACTGTCAAATTCAAGGGAACATTTTTTTTCTACCCTTTTTCATATGAAACAGGATGTGACGAACAATGTTTTGGTGGTATTACTCCTTAAAGAGACCACTTAAAAGTTATCTCCCTTTGCAAAAATTTCTAATAATGGAAACAGTTAGTATTTGAATATAGACTTTTGAAATACCTGGAAATCTAGCCTTCTTTCATATGTCTTGTGTGATAGGTCAACAATACATGGTAGGTTAATTGTGAGGGGTTTAAATGTTCATCTGAGATACTTCATTTATGACTTTGACCTTATTTACACATACAAGTGGTCAGATTAAGATAAAATAAGGAGATATGGCATGATTGCCAATGAGACAACTATCCACCAGAGACTAAATGATGTAGATTTTATTTATTAAGTATAGATCACCATACAGCCTTTAACAATGAGCAAAACCCATAATTCATGGCAAGCTTATAAAAGGCCCCAACAGGACAAAATGTAAAACAACTCGAACGAGAAAAAATCAACAACCTGATTCACGATCACGATTCACTGATTGTACGATAAACAAATATGATATGTAGCAACAAACAACAACCACTGAATTACAGGCTTCTGACTTGGGACAAACGCATACAGAATTTGGCGAGGTTAAACAAGTTTTTGGATAGACCAACCGCCTTTAACTTGGGACAGTGGTGTAACAGCACAACATAAGAATAATTATAAGTTGAAAAGGGCTTGACTCATCATTATTATCATAAGTTTAAGGATTATGTCTGTAACTTGACATGAAAGGTCATGATATTTTGTGTATGAATTAGTTTTAAAAGAATATACACAGCTGACCTGTGATAAGGGTTAGACCTTTTTTAACCATAATATTTGTTTATTTTCGCACAGAAATTCTCGGGGTTCGTCCAGTCTTGTATGCACTCTCACAAGTACAATTCTCCCTAGATTTTTATCAAATCTTTATAAGTGGTTTATATCTGCATTGTTTCTGACAAGTTAGAAAATCAGTGTCCATTAACTATTTTTTAAAAGTTGTGCCCCTTGGAAATATTAATTATATGTGTATGGGAAATTGCATTGCAAGTGCTCTCACATGTACAGTTCTTTTTTTATCAAAGGTTTATATCAGCAATGTCTTGAACAAATTGGAAAATCAGTGCAGATCAACAATTGTTTAAAGAGTTAGACTCCTTGGAAATATAAGTTATATCAAGGATTTGTATCAAATCCTTGTTTATATGTAAAATTGCATTGTAAGTGCTCTCAAGCCTATATTTCTTGTAGGACTGTTATGAAATTAATATTGAAGATTTAAGTCAGCAATGTCTGTTACAAGCTTGAAAATCAGTGCAGATGAATTATTTGTTCAGAAGTTATGTCCATTAGAAATGTAAATTCTATAGAAAATTGCATTGTAAGCGCTCTCCCGTGTACAATTCTTGCCTGGTATTTCAAAGGTTTACATCAGCAATGTTTATGACAAGATTGAAAATCAGTGCTGATCAATTATTTTTAAAAGAGTAATGCCCCTTGGAAATATTAATTATATGGAAAATTGCATTGTAAGCGCTTTCATGTGTACATTACAGTAACAATTCTTACCATCTTCTTTTATCAAAGGCATATATATCAGCAATGTCTTGTACAAGTTCAAAAGTCAGTGCCCATCAACTATTTTTTAAAGAGTTATGCCACTGGCACTTGGAAATTTTAATTGTATGTAAAATTGCATTGTTAATGTTCTCAAGCCTTCATTTCTCTAAGGTATTTATAAAAAAAAATATTAAAGAACAAAAAAATTTTTTTTTTTTTTAGTTCTAGCCATTGGGCAGATGAAATATGTACAATGTGGGGGACATTTGAACTCTGTTCTTTTATTAATCTTTCAAGTAGTCTATCCATCTGTATTAATAAGAGTGACAAGTCATCAATTTTTGGTATAGCAATTTAATGTCCTTCAGACATGTCAGTACTGAAACCTCTACATCAATTTCACACACTTATGGTCAGGTGATATTTACAGGTTTAAATAATAGAAGGCTTCCTCCAAGTAACCATACATGAGGTCTGGAATAAATTATTGTTGTTGAAAGAATATGTCATTCTGGTTATGTCATCTGGTCTTGCCCAAGCTCATATATATTCATTTTCCTGTGCTCAGTATATGTTTATGCTCAATCTAGGATAGTCAGGTGGGGGGAAGCATTATGTTTTCTGGCCTGTACATCTGTCCTTCTGTTTGTGCATTAGTCCATCCTGAGTATCAGGTTAAAGTTTACCAAGAAGTTGTTGTCTCCTTGATTTGAAACTTTGTACACATAATCATTATGATAATATTCTTTCAGGTAATACCAGTTCATCTAACTATAGCAGCAATCTTGGATACAAATCACAGGTGTGTAAAACAAAAATCTTGTGAATATAACTTGATTGCTAAACATGATAATGTCATTAACCTTTTTCTACTGCATTAGGGCCTAAGCCGTAAAAAATACACAGTAGTCAATTAACCTGTTAAAGAGGTAAATCATAATCTTTTCATGTGAGTGATGATGTGACCTATAAAGCATCATGAATAAATTTAAGATGTGGAATAAAAGTCATTAAGAAAGCAACCTAATGACAAAAAAAAATTAGTCATGGAGAGAACGGAAACTAAAAATTTTGTAATTTTTCCATTTATAAAGGGGCAGAACTCTAGAAGGGTTAAAGTGACACCTCCAAAATTCAATCTTGATCTGTGTTTTGTGGAAATAAGCATTGTGTATAAGTTTCATAACATTTGGTTGAGGCAAACTCAAGTTAGAGAACGGAAACCAATTTTAGGACGTACGGACAATGCCCCCTCCGCTACGGCGGGGGCATAAAAACACCTAGAAATGAGCATAAAGTCTTCAACAAAAGACAGGGGACTATAGAATATATGTCAAGCTCTAAACATCCTGAGTCTAATAATAATATTCAATAAGATGAACAGAAACAACCTATCACAGGTCTGCCATCACCACCAAATTTTCTAAAGATATAACATGAATCATCCACTGATAGGCTCCCTGACCTGAAACAGGTACACAAATTTATATGGGGTTCAAGTTTTTTTGAAAGAAAGTTCATGAAATCTCCACCCTCCTTCTTAAATCTTGATAAGAAACATGAAAACACTAAAATAATGTTATTTTTGACATTAAAAATACTTAGTCTAGTACAAACAATCTAATGCACAATTCTTTTTTCAATTTACTATATTGAATTTTTTATGAATATTTATTTGTTCTGTCTTAAAATAAGAAGTTGCAGTAAAGTCAAGTTTGTCTTTTAGTAACTCCAGTTAAAATTAACCAGTGAAGCATAACCATATAAGCCATCAAAGAGTCACACTTGATTTAAAAAACCATTCTAAGTAAAGAGCTGGATTTTACATGTCTGTTCATTCTGTATTAGCCTTTCAACATATGAATATTAAGAAATGTTGTTTAAACATCATTAATACTGCACATTGAACAAAACAATAAGATAATAAAATACAGTCCATATTTCAAACTGACTGCATTTACTTGAATGATAAATATTCTTCATTGTCATTCTGTCACTTGTGAAACAAACAATTATTACATGTACAATGTACTAGCTGCTTATTATTAAGTAGTGCCCATGGAAGATGATATAAAAAAATCAAAAACTGATACTATTTTCCTTGTATTTACTTATGAATTTCTTAATCAGAATTATTATCTTCATAGAGATTCAATTTAATAAAAAAAGTTTGAAGCAGTAAACAATATCATTGACACCAGTGCATGTGTATCTCAGTCACTAGTAAGACATATATGAAATTTCTAGGAGTTTCTGAAATAAAGCAGTTAAAGCAGTCACAGAATTCTTTGATAAAGATCTTTATAAAACTTTACACTGACTTTTCTTGCTTAGCTTTAGTTATACATCTATTCATTTATTTATAAATAAGATATTATATAAAGTTGACCATTTATTATAGGTAAATTATGTTCAACCAGCTAACCTTAGCCTGCCATATAATTCTACCCCAGGATACATGCAGGGACCACAACATGATATACCACATTCAACTGTACCATATGAAACTCCAGCTAGTCAACAAGATGGAAACTTGAGTCTGTAGTCATGGCAACACAAGAAAGAAGGACCAAAGTTTTTTTTTATGACAGTTTCTCTTCATTTTCAATTTAGCAGTTGTATCAAAATCTCAAAATTGCATCCCTAGTCATGTATGGCTTAATTGAATTGTTAGAAATTCAAAATCAAGGACTTTCAAGGGATTTAAAGTACGATATTTGAGAAATACAAAGTTACAAGATACACGTACAAAATTGATTTGATTAGTCTTATGCACATTTCATTACTCAAAAATATCCTAAGACCAATTAACTAAAAATAATATGTGTAAAATAGACAATAGACAATAAAACTTCATAGACAATTTAGAAATTAATACAAACACCTTAAAAAAAATTTAAAAGTATATGACACATTTACCAATAAAAAAGATGTATGTAAAAATTTAATGAAAAATGTTAATAATTAATAATTAGTTTACGAGAATTAAGATTAAATTGGCATAAGTGGAGAAATATTATTTTGATGTTCAGAATGTTTCTCTAAATGATTTTTATTACTGATCATTAGTCAAACTCAATTCAGAGGTAAATAATTATAGCTCACTCTTGAAGCATAATAATGAAGCTTGCTATTGTTGAGGGTGGGGGAAATATTGTTGGGAGTATCTGTCTAACTTATTACATTCCAATATTCAAATATACAAATTTCCATATCAGTCACATAGAACTTTTGAATGCCTTGAAAAAAATTATTTATACTTTGCATTATTATTGGCAAGCACCAGAGGATGTGTCTTGAATAACATTAGAATGCCCGTCTGCAAGTTCAAGGTGACAAACATATTGTTTAAAATACAAAAGTCAGGAGGACACATTTTTGAATGCCTGGAAAATTGACATTTTTGGTGCCCACCACCAGGGAGAGTTTTGCAAATAAGTTGGAATTTTTGTCTGCAAGGTCCAGGTCACAAACTTCATTTAACTTTATATTCCTATATATTCAAATATACAAAGTTTTGTCTGATTTAGTACTTTTGAATGTCGACATTGATATTAATGATGTTTGATATGAATCATAGTTGTCCACCACCAGTGTATATGGTATCTTAATTTTAGTGTCTTTCACCCTCTTATTTGATACTGTATAGTTTATTATGCATTTTCAGGAATTATTAGCCCTTTCACCAGTTAATGAAATATCATAAAAGGCAAGAAATTTTAATGTTCCATTTCTTGTATGGGGCGATAGTTTGACTCGTCATATCATATGATGCAATTTGAAAAATAGATAAGATAGGCAAAACTTGATGAATTTGACATTGTTAAGAGTGCTTTCGAATCTTTTTCACTTTTACTCTTGGAAAAGATATATATTCCACTTCCATCATCAGAAATGGTACAATTACCGGTCTAAATGAAAATCAAGATCATAATTTTAACTGCTATTATATATCATGTATATATACAACTAAATTGTTTCAAATGTTTGTGGGCTTAAAAACTAATATATGGAAATGAAATTTACATATTTTACACCAGAAAAGGCAAACAATAAAAAAAGCATGAGTTCTAAATAATATGTGAATTAATATAATGGTAGCGAAATGAAAAAACAAAAATAATGAAAGTGAGTTTGTTTTTCGTGAACAAATAGACTTGATGACTTTATATGAAATATAATTTCAAAAAAAAATTTATGATTAGGTGTATAATTTATATGCATGCTGGATATATTTTTAAACCCAGAAATTGTAATCTATAGAAAGTTTTAATGGTATGAATTGTTCCCATGCATGATATGAGCAAATATATATTAGCAATACTTAATTATGTATTAATTTTATTTTATCTAATCCAAGGAATGGATTTTAATATTGAATTTTGATTAAGTGATGATTTTGTTAATAATTGTTGAATGAAATTTGTTTCTTTTGAATAAAATGAAAAAAGTAGACCTTTTGTCTCTTTAATTTACAAACCTCTTTGGTTTCAATTAATGGTAGGTATCTACAGGATCACAGCGATCATTGTTACAATTAGAATTCTACACATTCAAAAGAATTAAGATGACAGAATGGCAGCCATTTTAATACTGATTACACTTCATCAACCTTTGTTAAATCCTCGAGAAAGTTTTCCAGGCCCTGTATGGTAATACATTTATATTTATTTGTCGTAAAAAAAATCTTAAGTTTTATAGAAACCCCTCAAAAGTTACCTACCTTTACAAAAATTCTGAAGTTTTAAAGAAACCACTCGGTTATCTACCTTGACAAAAAATTCTGAAGTTTTATAGAAACCCCTCAAAAGTTATCTACCTTTAAAAAAATCTTAAGTTTTATACAAACCCCCCAAAAGTTATCTACCTTTACAAAAATTCTGAAGTTTTATAGAAACCCCTCAAAAGTTATCTATCTTTACAAAAATGCTGAAGTTTTACAGAAACCCCTCAAAAGTTATCTACCTTTACAAAAATTCTGAAGTTACAAGAAACTCCTCAAAAGTTATCTACCTTTACAAAAATTCAGAAGTTTTATAGAAACCACTCAGTTATCTACCTTAACAAAAAATTCTGAAGTTTTATAGAAACCCCTCAAAAGTTATCTACCTTTACAAAATTTCTGAAGTTTTACAGAACCCCTCAAAAGTTATCTACCTTTACAAAAATTCTGAAGTTTAATAGAAACCCCTCAAAAGTTATCTACCTTTACAAAAATTCTGAAGTTTTATAGAAACCACTCAGTTATCTACCTTAACAAAAAATTCTGAAGTTTTATAGAAACCCCTCAAAAGTTATCTACCTTTACAAAAAATTCTAAAGTTTTATAGAAACTACTCAAAAGTTATCTAACTTTACAAAAATTCTGAAGTTTTATAGAAACCCCTCAAAAGTTATCTACCTTTACAAAATTTCTGAAGTTTTACAGAATACTCAAAAGTTATCTACCTTTACAAAAATTCCGAAGTTTAATAGAAAACCCTCAAAAGTTATCTACCTTTACAAAAATTCTGAAGTTTTATAGAAACCACTCAGTTATCTACCTTAACAAAAAATTCTGAAGTTTTATAGAAACCCCTTAAAAGTTATCTACCTTTACAAAAATTCTGAAGTTTTATAGAAACCCCTCAAAAGTTATCTACCTTTACAAAAAATTCTAAAGTTTTATAGAAACTACTCAAAAGTTATCTAACTTTACAAAAATGCTGAAATTTTATAGAAACCCCTCAAAAGTTATCCAACTTGACAAAAAATTCTGAAGTTTTAAAGAAACCCCTTAAAAATTATTTCCCTTTGCAAAAAATCTTAAGTTTTATAGGAGTAATACCACCAATATTTTCCCCCTATTAGTCTTTGTTAAATTCTCATTTTTATTTTTTTTTAAATTGTGCAGAATTTATCTTTGTTTCAAATATTAAAGAAATACTTGGCATGAGTGAAGTTTGATCCTGTCCAGACTACTACAGTCAAAATTTCACATAACATTTCATTGCATATAAGATAATAACCATCACTGGAAGTTAACCAATCAAATTTTTTTCCCCTTTTTTTCCTGTTTAGTAACCATGCCACCTCAAGTTTCCAAAATATTTTATAGAAACACTTAATATAAAAAAAATCTTTGAATCACCCAAGATATATGTTTATGACTCAGAATTTTTTTTCTGCAATGAAATGCATGTAACGAGGTTTAATTTCCTACAACTGTCAAATTCAAGGGAACATTTTTTTTCTACCCTTTTTCATATGAAACAGGATGTGACGAACAATGTTTTGGTGGTATTACTCCTTAAAGAGACCACTTAAAAGTTATCTCCCTTTGCAAAAATTTCTAATAATGGAAACAGTTAGTATTTGAATATAGACTTTTGAAATACCTGGAAATCTAGCCTTCTTTCATATGTCTTGTGTGATAGGTCAACAATACATGGTAGGTTAATTGTGAGGGGTTTAAATGTTCATCTGAGATACTTCATTTATGACTTTGACCTTATTTACACATACAAGTGGTCAGATTAAGATAAAATAAGGAGATATGGCATGATTGCCAATGAGACAACTATCCACCAGAGACTAAATGATGTAGATTTTATTTATTAAGTATAGATCACCATACAGCCTTTAACAATGAGCAAAACCCATAATTCATGGCAAGCTTATAAAAGGCCCCAACAGGACAAAATGTAAAACAACTCGAACGAGAAAAAATCAACAACCTGATTCACGATCACGATTCACTGATTGTACGATAAACAAATATGATATGTAGCAACAAACAACAACCACTGAATTACAGGCTTCTGACTTGGGACAAACGCATACAGAATTTGGCGAGGTTAAACAAGTTTTTGGATAGACCAACCGCCTTTAACTTGGGACAGTGGTGTAACAGCACAACATAAGAATAATTATAAGTTGAAAAGGGCTTGACTCATCATTATTATCATAAGTTTAAGGATTATGTCTGTAACTTGACATGAAAGGTCATGATATTTTGTGTATGAATTAGTTTTAAAAGAATATACACAGCTGACCTGTGATAAGGGTTAGACCTTTTTTAACCATAATATTTGTTTATTTTCGCACAGAAATTCTCGGGGTTCGTCCAGTCTTGTATGCACTCTCACAAGTACAATTCTCCCTAGATTTTTATCAAATCTTTATAAGTGGTTTATATCTGCATTGTTTCTGACAAGTTAGAAAATCAGTGTCCATTAACTATTTTTTAAAAGTTGTGCCCCTTGGAAATATTAATTATATGTGTATGGGAAATTGCATTGCAAGTGCTCTCACATGTACAGTTCTTTTTTTATCAAAGGTTTATATCAGCAATGTCTTGAACAAATTGGAAAATCAGTGCAGATCAACAATTGTTTAAAGAGTTAGACTCCTTGGAAATATAAGTTATATCAAGGATTTGTATCAAATCCTTGTTTATATGTAAAATTGCATTGTAAGTGCTCTCAAGCCTATATTTCTTGTAGGACTGTTATGAAATTAATATTGAAGATTTAAGTCAGCAATGTCTGTTACAAGCTTGAAAATCAGTGCAGATGAATTATTTGTTCAGAAGTTATGTCCATTAGAAATGTAAATTCTATAGAAAATTGCATTGTAAGCGCTCTCCCGTGTACAATTCTTGCCTGGTATTTCAAAGGTTTACATCAGCAATGTTTATGACAAGATTGAAAATCAGTGCTGATCAATTATTTTTAAAAGAGTAATGCCCCTTGGAAATATTAATTATATGGAAAATTGCATTGTAAGCGCTTTCATGTGTACATTACAGTAACAATTCTTACCATCTTCTTTTATCAAAGGCATATATATCAGCAATGTCTTGTACAAGTTCAAAAGTCAGTGCCCATCAACTATTTTTTAAAGAGTTATGCCACTGGCACTTGGAAATTTTAATTGTATGTAAAATTGCATTGTTAATGTTCTCAAGCCTTCATTTCTCTAAGGTATTTATAAAAAAAAATATTAAAGAACAAAAAAATTTTTTTTTTTTTTAGTTCTAGCCATTGGGCAGATGAAATATGTACAATGTGGGGGACATTTGAACTCTGTTCTTTTATTAATCTTTCAAGTAGTCTATCCATCTGTATTAATAAGAGTGACAAGTCATCAATTTTTGGTATAGCAATTTAATGTCCTTCAGACATGTCAGTACTGAAACCTCTACATCAATTTCACACACTTATGGTCAGGTGATATTTACAGGTTTAAATAATAGAAGGCTTCCTCCAAGTAACCATACATGAGGTCTGGAATAAATTATTGTTGTTGAAAGAATATGTCATTCTGGTTATGTCATCTGGTCTTGCCCAAGCTCATATATATTCATTTTCCTGTGCTCAGTATATGTTTATGCTCAATCTAGGATAGTCAGGTGGGGGGAAGCATTATGTTTTCTGGCCTGTACATCTGTCCTTCTGTTTGTGCATTAGTCCATCCTGAGTATCAGGTTAAAGTTTACCAAGAAGTTGTTGTCTCCTTGATTTGAAACTTTGTACACATAATCATTATGATAATATTCTTTCAGGTAATACCAGTTCATCTAACTATAGCAGCAATCTTGGATACAAATCACAGGTGTGTAAAACAAAAATCTTGTGAATATAACTTGATTGCTAAACATGATAATGTCATTAACCTTTTTCTACTGCATTAGGGCCTAAGCCGTAAAAAATACACAGTAGTCAATTAACCTGTTAAAGAGGTAAATCATAATCTTTTCATGTGAGTGATGATGTGACCTATAAAGCATCATGAATAAATTTAAGATGTGGAATAAAAGTCATTAAGAAAGCAACCTAATGACAAAAAAAAATTAGTCATGGAGAGAACGGAAACTAAAAATTTTGTAATTTTTCCATTTATAAAGGGGCAGAACTCTAGAAGGGTTAAAGTGACACCTCCAAAATTCAATCTTGATCTGTGTTTTGTGGAAATAAGCATTGTGTATAAGTTTCATAACATTTGGTTGAGGCAAACTCAAGTTAGAGAACGGAAACCAATTTTAGGACGTACGGACAATGCCCCCTCCGCTACGGCGGGGGCATAAAAACACCTAGAAATGAGCATAAAGTCTTCAACAAAAGACAGGGGACTATAGAATATATGTCAAGCTCTAAACATCCTGAGTCTAATAATAATATTCAATAAGATGAACAGAAACAACCTATCACAGGTCTGCCATCACCACCAAATTTTCTAAAGATATAACATGAATCATCCACTGATAGGCTCCCTGACCTGAAACAGGTACACAAATTTATATGGGGTTCAAGTTTTTTTGAAAGAAAGTTCATGAAATCTCCACCCTCCTTCTTAAATCTTGATAAGAAACATGAAAACACTAAAATAATGTTATTTTTGACATTAAAAATACTTAGTCTAGTACAAACAATCTAATGCACAATTCTTTTTTCAATTTACTATATTGAATTTTTTATGAATATTTATTTGTTCTGTCTTAAAATAAGAAGTTGCAGTAAAGTCAAGTTTGTCTTTTAGTAACTCCAGTTAAAATTAACCAGTGAAGCATAACCATATAAGCCATCAAAGAGTCACACTTGATTTAAAAAACCATTCTAAGTAAAGAGCTGGATTTTACATGTCTGTTCATTCTGTATTAGCCTTTCAACATATGAATATTAAGAAATGTTGTTTAAACATCATTAATACTGCACATTGAACAAAACAATAAGATAATAAAATACAGTCCATATTTCAAACTGACTGCATTTACTTGAATGATAAATATTCTTCATTGTCATTCTGTCACTTGTGAAACAAACAATTATTACATGTACAATGTACTAGCTGCTTATTATTAAGTAGTGCCCATGGAAGATGATATAAAAAAATCAAAAACTGATACTATTTTCCTTGTATTTACTTATGAATTTCTTAATCAGAATTATTATCTTCATAGAGATTCAATTTAATAAAAAAAGTTTGAAGCAGTAAACAATATCATTGACACCAGTGCATGTGTATCTCAGTCACTAGTAAGACATATATGAAATTTCTAGGAGTTTCTGAAATAAAGCAGTTAAAGCAGTCACAGAATTCTTTGATAAAGATCTTTATAAAACTTTACACTGACTTTTCTTGCTTAGCTTTAGTTATACATCTATTCATTTATTTATAAATAAGATATTATATAAAGTTGACCATTTATTATAGGTAAATTATGTTCAACCAGCTAACCTTAGCCTGCCATATAATTCTACCCCAGGATACATGCAGGGACCACAACATGATATACCACATTCAACTGTACCATATGAAACTCCAGCTAGTCAACAAGATGGAAACTTGAGTCTGTAGTCATGGCAACACAAGAAAGAAGGACCAAAGTTTTTTTTTATGACAGTTTCTCTTCATTTTCAATTTAGCAGTTGTATCAAAATCTCAAAATTGCATCCCTAGTCATGTATGGCTTAATTGAATTGTTAGAAATTCAAAATCAAGGACTTTCAAGGGATTTAAAGTACGATATTTGAGAAATACAAAGTTACAAGATACACGTACAAAATTGATTTGATTAGTCTTATGCACATTTCATTACTCAAAAATATCCTAAGACCAATTAACTAAAAATAATATGTGTAAAATAGACAATAGACAATAAAACTTCATAGACAATTTAGAAATTAATACAAACACCTTAAAAAAAATTTAAAAGTATATGACACATTTACCAATAAAAAAGATGTATGTAAAAATTTAATGAAAAATGTTAATAATTAATAATTAGTTTACGAGAATTAAGATTAAATTGGCATAAGTGGAGAAATATTATTTTGATGTTCAGAATGTTTCTCTAAATGATTTTTATTACTGATCATTAGTCAAACTCAATTCAGAGGTAAATAATTATAGCTCACTCTTGAAGCATAATAATGAAGCTTGCTATTGTTGAGGGTGGGGGAAATATTGTTGGGAGTATCTGTCTAACTTATTACATTCCAATATTCAAATATACAAATTTCCATATCAGTCACATAGAACTTTTGAATGCCTTGAAAAAAATTATTTATACTTTGCATTATTATTGGCAAGCACCAGAGGATGTGTCTTGAATAACATTAGAATGCCCGTCTGCAAGTTCAAGGTGACAAACATATTGTTTAAAATACAAAAGTCAGGAGGACACATTTTTGAATGCCTGGAAAATTGACATTTTTGGTGCCCACCACCAGGGAGAGTTTTGCAAATAAGTTGGAATTTTTGTCTGCAAGGTCCAGGTCACAAACTTCATTTAACTTTATATTCCTATATATTCAAATATACAAAGTTTTGTCTGATTTAGTACTTTTGAATGTCGACATTGATATTAATGATGTTTGATATGAATCATAGTTGTCCACCACCAGTGTATATGGTATCTTAATTTTAGTGTCTTTCACCCTCTTATTTGATACTGTATAGTTTATTATGCATTTTCAGGAATTATTAGCCCTTTCACCAGTTAATGAAATATCATAAAAGGCAAGAAATTTTAATGTTCCATTTCTTGTATGGGGCGATAGTTTGACTCGTCATATCATATGATGCAATTTGAAAAATAGATAAGATAGGCAAAACTTGATGAATTTGACATTGTTAAGAGTGCTTTCGAATCTTTTTCACTTTTACTCTTGGAAAAGATATATATTCCACTTCCATCATCAGAAATGGTACAATTACCGGTCTAAATGAAAATCAAGATCATAATTTTAACTGCTATTATATATCATGTATATATACAACTAAATTGTTTCAAATGTTTGTGGGCTTAAAAACTAATATATGGAAATGAAATTTACATATTTTACACCAGAAAAGGCAAACAATAAAAAAAGCATGAGTTCTAAATAATATGTGAATTAATATAATGGTAGCGAAATGAAAAAACAAAAATAATGAAAGTGAGTTTGTTTTTCGTGAACAAATAGACTTGATGACTTTATATGAAATATAATTTCAAAAAAAAATTTATGATTAGGTGTATAATTTATATGCATGCTGGATATATTTTTAAACCCAGAAATTGTAATCTATAGAAAGTTTTAATGGTATGAATTGTTCCCATGCATGATATGAGCAAATATATATTAGCAATACTTAATTATGTATTAATTTTATTTTATCTAATCCAAGGAATGGATTTTAATATTGAATTTTGATTAAGTGATGATTTTGTTAATAATTGTTGAATGAAATTTGTTTCTTTTGAATAAAATGAAAAAAGTAGACCTTTTGTCTCTTTAATTTACAAACCTCTTTGGTTTCAATTAATGGTAGGTATCTACAGGATCACAGCGATCATTGTTACAATTAGAATTCTACACATTCAAAAGAATTAAGATGACAGAATGGCAGCCATTTTAATACTGATTACACTTCATCAACCTTTGTTAAATCCTCGAGAAAGTTTTCCAGGCCCTGTATGGTAATACATTTATATTTATTTGTCGTGAAACTTGATTAAAATTTTAGATCTGGTTCATTTTGTGTACTGAAGTTTTGAATAACTATACAAAATTTTTGATGGATAATATTAGCAAATAACAAATCAGATCCATGCAGAGAACATTTAATGATCTGCCATAGTTGTACAAGTTTGAATTATGGGTTAAACTTCAATATTTACTCCTCGAGTTTGTAGTGGCTATATTGCAATCATCTTGTCCATCTGTTGGTCCAACAAATATTTTCATCTATGATTTCTTTGAAACAACTTAGGGCTGACAATAATCGCTATTCCATTAAAACATACATGGTACCAAGGGAAGCTGCTTTAAAAAAGAGGTAACCACCTATAGAGGCAAATTAAAATTTCACCAACATTTCCACTATGCAAAAACATAGTTGACACCCCATGTATGTTTGTATGGAACAGCCCTTAACAGATGGAATCATATTTGGTCAGTAGCAGTAATTTCAAGTTATAAGGGCTTAAAACTTTCCCTTTACTTTCTCCTTAAAATTCAATATGTACTAGCTTTATAATCCACATATGGCAAAGTATACAGATATCAAATGATAAGGTCCATATTATGAATTTTACATTGCTGCTCCAGAAAGTGGACCTCATTTGTGAACATTTAATAGACTTGCATATTTCTATGAACAACTGACCATTAACACTGACAGACCACATAACTGTACCACATATTTGCTTAATAAATATAAAGTAGACCTAGTGATTTAAATATCAGTAGTATTTTTTGTCATCAAATGGAGCATAATCAAATTTAGTTTGGAAAAAGTTGGACATATGGCTTCAACAATACCACACGGAAAAAAATCTCCAAATTTTAGTCCATCAATAACTGTTGTGAACTTGACCTTTGACCCCAAATCAATAGACCTGATCTTCTCCATCAATTGGCCATTAATGAACTAAGTTTGGTATAAGTTTGACGAAGTGGTTCATGAAACCAAATTTTGGCTTCAGTCTATCAACATGCCTTGACCTTAACATTTGGTCGATTGATCTCAAAATCAATCGGGTCTAATTATCAAACCAAATTTGATAAATATCGGACATGATTCAAAAGTGATCATCTGGAAGCTAGAATTTTGTCCAAATCAATAAATATTTGGTGTAACCTTGACCTCATGACTCGAAATTCACTTGGGGCCATATTTCTCTCATGGGGCTTTACCAAGCCAAGTTTTGAAGAGATATTCTTTTTGGCAAAAAAGTTACATGGAAACCAAAATTTTGACACCAGACAGTCGAATGTTTTGACAGCATACATCTTATCATAAGCCTATATTGACTTCGTCACAGCTCTGATAGAAAGCAAAACTCTATTAATTTGCATACCTTTGCTATTTGATAAAAAAATAATTTTATAAAATAAAAGTTTTTCAAAACTGAAAGAGTTAAATTAAGCAGACAATTTATAAAAGTTCACAAATGCTATACAAACAAAATTTCACACACGAGTGCACGTCTCGCCTGCTTAGCTTATGATTGAATTTATGTTGAAAGTCTTAAGGTTTTACTGCAAGTACCAAATAAACTTAACATTACAAATAATCCATGAAAATGAAGTCAAGGTCAGATGAACCATGCCAGACAAACATGTAAAGCTTTCAATCCTATTCCATACACCAAATATAGTGGTCCGATTGCTTACAGTACCTGGAAAACAGACCAAACCACAAAATTTTAACATTGACCGATGAACCATGAAAATGTGGTCAAGGTCATAAAAACCCTGCCAGATAGACATGTACACCTAACATTCATTCCATACACCAAATATAGTTCACCTATTGCTTATTAAAAGTATATGATAAACTGACAAACCCATGAAAACTTAACATTTAACAATGAACCATGAAAATCAGGTCAAGGTCTTATGGACCCTGCCAGACGGACATGTACACCTTACAATCATTCCACAAACCAATAATAGAAGCCTCACTGCTAATAATATCTGAGAAATAGACAAAACCACAAAAACTAAACTTTGTGCACTGAACCATCAAAATGAGGTCAAGGTCAGATGAAATCTGTCAATAGGACATGTACACCTTACAATCCTGTATGCCACCCTAAAACAATAGTTTTAGGGTGGCATACAGGAAGTTTCATTTCCATAACTTCAAAATATATCAAAGATCTGAAAGCTCTGAGGAAAAATGACGCCACTGTCTCTAATATTGAGATATTTTTTATGCAAGTCTTGATTTTCACATGTCGTAATAAGTTTAACATTGCAACATGTCTCGTAAGCATATAATTGATATTCGTATATGTGTCTGTTTTTTCAGTACAAATAAATAGGTCAAGACTACCTGAATGATCTACAGTATCCAATTACTACTAGCTGTTTTTTTGTATAAATAAATAGGTCAAGACTACCGGAATGATCTACAATATCCAATGACTACTGGCTGTTCTTTTGTACTAATAAAAAGGTCAAGACTATTTGAATGATCTACAATATCCAATGACTACTGGCTGTTCTTTTGTACATATAAATAAAGACTACCTGAATGATCTAAAGTATTCTAAGTAATGTGATTTTTTTCTTGCAATTACATTTTTCTAAATCAAGAATATAGACTACTAGTATCCTTTTCAAACCAAATGATTATGAAGAGCCTGTTGTTAGCAAGCTCTTATACCCCACATACTCATTAAATAAGTTACTAGTGACCTAGTTATTTCTGTTACTTGAAGCAAATTATATTTCTGTATATTTAGACAATAGTATAATATTGTTTTATTAGTTTTATTTCACCTTGAAGATTAGACAAATAGGGATACTCCTTCGATTTTTTATTTCATGTCAGTCAGGTCGCTTTATATGAAACTTGAAACCACTTCTCTGCCATATTGTTATTTTATAACAACTCTGCCCTTGACCATGTTGACCCATATGCATGTAATTGATATTCATTCTTTAACCATATATCATAGTCAGTTAGTTTTTGATTTTGCACTCCCACACCACCTTTCATGTCTTTCAGGTCAAATGTCTGTCTCCATTTAAGTTAATGACATTGAACAATCATGGTATTAAATACAATTTCAATAGTGATAATGCTGTTCTCGTGGGTCACCATATATTCAACTTGGGTAGCATTCCAGTTACTGAAATTTGTGTCAGATTAGAACAATGATCTAGATCTTTAGGAATGGATCTTATAATTTAATATAGAGCCATAGTATGGGACCCCTACACGGTAACAAAAAAAAACAAGCTTGAAAGGATACAATGTCAAGCGGCAAAATCTATCACCAGAGATTACAAGTCAAAAGAGGATGGACTTGATACGTCTCTAAAATGCTTGCTGAACTGGAACTACAGCAAGATATCCAGACAAGACGAACAAAGCGTTGAAGCCAGAAGTTAACATTTATGTAAAAAGTAGTTGAGGGGCTGATTCCCGCTATTGAACCATACTGTCATTCTATAATATCATTGCGTAAGTATTTCTGTATTGGCCTTGTTATTGGTCCATGTCTTGGGTGTATTGGTCTGAGACGAAGCGGAAGGCCAATACTGCTGGCCGAGGACCAATAATAAGGCCCAATACAAAAATACTCGTAATAGTATCTTTATTAATTAACTACAGTGTTACAATATTTTTTTTATTTCATTTCACAAGAGATAAACAATTTTACCTTGAAGTGGAACTATCCAAATCTCAGTTTCCTTTTATAAGATGCAATATCTAATGATTCGGTGTCGTTTGACTGCTGGCCGAGAAACGATTATAAGGCCAATACAGAAATACACGTAATAGTATCTTTAATAATTAACTACAGTGTTACAATATTTTTTTTATTTCATTCCACAAGAGATAAACATATTTACCTTGAAGTGGAACTATCCAAATCTCAGTTTCTTTTTATAAGATACAATATCTAATGATTTGGTGCCGTTTGAAGTATCTTCAGCCTTTTCTCATCTGATGAATTTTTCTACCCTTTCCAGTCACTATAAAGTATTACAACTTTAATTTAGACACAACACATAAATAGTAATTGGAAAGGTACTGCCATTGCATGTGTAATGCAAATATATTTTAAAAAAAAATAATGTAAGAGTTGAAATTTTTACAACTATCCATAAGCCAATTGACCAAAGAACGAAGATTTGCACAATTACAGAATGCATATGCCTGGTTCGGGTTTAAAAATAAACGACCGTTTAAATACAAAACATGAGAAGCGACAGTAAACAGTAAAAATCGATTTGTACCATGGACATGAAATTATGAGGTCGTCAAGAAATGAACTTTGTGATAATTTACTCATTCCCCAAACCTGAAATAATCCCATCGTCTACTTTCAAAATGCTTTTTAAATGAATGGGACCGTCTTTAACCTAAAATATATGCCATACTGAACGTTTCAGCTTGTTTATGGTGAGTAAACCTGCGTCTTACAAACAACTGTTTACTTTCAGTTTGAGTTTATCGTGACTTACTATCTAAAAACTAGAGACTTCCAAAATCCTGTTTTGTAAACAAAGATTCATACGCACCGTGTGGGTATAACCGTATTACTAATTTCCGATTTTTAAAGTCTTCGTAAATCTGGATAAAGACCAGTTTCTATTCAATGGATATCAAAATGATTCCGATTTTCACTTTTTTTAATGATTGTAAAGTTGAAATGGCATGAAAGGCTGACATTATTTAGGAGAACTATTTTGTCTAGCGATTGCTGATCATTGGAGGGTAAAAAGTCCAACACCATAACAAAACGGATCTATTTATCATGTATACATACCGATTGTTTACGATTGTAAGACATGTGCATAAAAGTGAAAGCTCGAATAAATATGAAAAATATAACAAAGGGATAGCTCCAAATACCATTTAATAACAGAAAAAAAAGGGCAGGTCAAAATATCTTTTTGGTAAATAAAATAAAGTATGTAAACTGGTTCCTGACCGACTACAACACCTTGTTCGAGTGTAGCGTAATACAAGCAGATTCCAGTTAGTATGTAAAATAGTAAATATGAAACCGAGTGCGGTAGGCGGAGGCAATAATCGACTTCCGTAAGTTCTGGTCAATGGTATCGGAAACATGCCGCTGATAGCGTCATTTTCCAATAAAATGTCTATAATACTCTATTGTCAAAAGATGGGAGAATTTTTCATGTTAGAGGCATATTCTTTTACTTTTTTAATTTCAGAAATTGAACCTATTTTTTTGCATATTCTTTTAACAATAACTGCTATAAGTAGTTGTCTGACAATTTTGGTCATCCTGTTGGTAGCTGTACTATGCAGGTTTTTCATTGTGTGTTTTAGTTTTATGGCATATGGTCTTTATAGACAAATAGGAAGTTTTGTGCAGAAAAACACTGGTTTAACCCCACCACATTTTGTGCCTGTACATAGTTAGGCTAGCTTGATCATGTGTTGTCTGTTGTAGTTTGTATGTCTGGGAAACGTCTATGTTTGTGGTAGATGGTGTCTGTTGTTGTTTGTATGTCTGGGAAACGTCTATGTTTGTGGTAGATGGTGTCTGTTGTTGTTTGTATGTCTAGTAAACGTCTATGTTTGTGGTAGATGGTGTCTGTTGTTGTTTGTATGTCTGGGAAACGTCTATGTTTGTGGTAGATGGTGTCTGTTGTTCTGTGCAGTACTTCTATTATTCCTGATATAACTTTTTATGTTTTAGAAATCAAAAACTTTACATATAATACACACTATCCTTTCATTTGATCATGTAGATAATTTATTAGATATAATTTTCAATATTGTTTACATTGCACAGATCACCGCCTTGCAGTCCTGGAAATTTGTTAAAATTTAAAACTTAAAAATGTGCACTACACAGGTATGTTTATGGTCCGTAAAACACACTTCTCTGCTTCATTGTGATGGGCACAAAACATAGCATAACATGGCTGTTGTGATAAAGACTGTAAAAATTCTGTTAGATAAGCCTGTAAATAGACAAAAAGTTATCATATTATATGTTTTAAATATACATGTAATGAAAAATTGCTTAAATTTGTTTTTTTAAACTTTCTTCGGAGCAAGCTAGAGGTTTCACTTAGCCTGTATCACACACCTCATGGTTTTCCCTAACCAATAAGAACACATCCACAGAGATTGGTAACTTTAGGGTTTTATATAAAAAAAAACTGTTCAAGGTTTATCTCAAAGTTGGCCATCTGATGCAAGATCAAATTTGAAGATAATTCGTCTCATCTGAGGGATGCTGATAGGCGCAGCTTACTGTAGCCTACCTATAAAGTGACCCCAGTTAACACATGAACCTCAAAAATTCTAGTCTTTGAGAAACAGGTAGTCTAAAGAGACCATTTCAACCAAAAATCTGGAGTTTTCCAATTTTTGACTTCTCATGGACCTGCAACTCAAAGTAGTCAGTCCATAAGCGTAATAAAATTATAATCACAGTCAGTAGTTATATTCCTTGTATTAAGTCTATTTGATAAATTGTCTTATAACATTTACCTGTAAGTCTATTTGATAAATTGAGCCTTTTAGTACTGTGAGACCATTTACCTGCCAAGCCTTATGATAAATTTGGTCATTTTTATAGTCTAATAACATTTATCTGTAAGTCTATCCTATAATTTGGGTCTTTTTTATATTCTAAGAACATTAACCATGTAAACCTGTAAGTCAATTTGATAAATAGAGTCTCTTATTAGTCTAATAACATTTACCTGTAAGTTTAAAAGATGAACTGGGTCCTTTTAATAGTGTAAGGAACATTTACCTGTAAGTCTATCTGATAAATTGGATCCTTTTTATAATCTGGATCTTCTTCCTCTTCCACATCATCTAAACCTAAGATAAAAAATATTTCTGTTCAAAATAAAATCTAACAATTTGATACAAGAGTTGTCATGTTGAAGCCCGACTATATGGCATTGGTGAACGCAGTACGGGACCTATAAATGCTTACATCCACATCATTTAGACTCTTGTGGATAGTTTTAATTGACAATCATACCAAATCTCCTTATTTTTTTATTGACATATTTACAATAAAACATCTTGCTTGCTGCAATACTCTCGAACTGAGGACAACTTACTAGTCAAGTGAAATCTGTCAGGTATACACAGGTGTTCACACTGTACAACTCATCCTTGTCAAGCCGCTAACAAAATAAAAAGTCATTCTGTTTGGTAGTACCAGAGAAAAGTGTGAAGGGACTTTTTGTTGGACAAAAGGACAGAGGGATGAACAAGGTTAATGCAGTATAGCCCCCACTTTTAGAGAGAAAGAATGGACTGGCAGTGTTAAAACAGTGTACTCACCCTTCTTCAGAGCCAAGGTATAATCAGTGTTGGTGAGCAGTAAAGAGGTAAAGATTGCTTTCAAATTGCACTAAGAACTTAAATTTTAAACATTTGCATTGCAATAACTGACAAAATATGTCATACGTGTAGGCAATATTGAAAACTGAGACCATTATTTCCTGTCTTTAATTTTTTTTTTGTAGCAATGGAAATTTTCATAGGAATAATAAATTTACCATTAATATAATCTTCTGACATCTGATCAATAAGAGAAGATAGTGACTGTCCAGATAAAGCTACTTCATCATCATTGTCATTTTCTTCTTCATCTCCCCAGCCTTCATCCTACAACAAACAATATATATCAATCATGAAGACTTTCCATAGTACAAACATCATGAAATGAGAAGATAGATGACTGTCTATACTATTCATTGTCAAATTTAGTTCCCTTATTTCACTTTTGTTTCCAATCAGACTGGAGTATAGAAATGTGGTCAGCCTCTTCTCCTGTCCTGTAGTAAAACCTTTCCTAAAGTCAAGTGTCCATTTTTGAATTCAAAGATATATACATACACTCCCACATCTGGTAAGAATGGGGAAATGTCACACTATATACAATAAAGATCTCTTGCAACAACTCTCTTAGGGGGTCTTTAGGTGGCCTGTTGCATGACAAAATTTCTACCTTTATGCAACATGGCCTCCTTTTCCAGTGGCAGTCCAAATGTTCTGCCCCTTCGTCCTGGTTTAACTACTTTTTTGTATGAAATGTTAATTTATCCTTGTCTATATATGTCTAAAATATTTGTCACTGGACAATAAGCAAGCATCAATCAATCAACCAATCAGCCATTATATTTCAAAGCTGATTATTTTTTTAATTATTTGCAGTCTGTTCAATAGTAGCTACTAGGAACTTCAGAGCAGATTTTCTTATTTTATAAAGACTTTTTTTCTGTGACTTTAAACATGGCTGTGAAATAAAAAGAATGTAGAATATGGTTTGTCTGAGTCTGATTAAAATTTTTGTTCAATGATGTTCAAATTCAAGTCTTCATGTCAAAGATTGATTGTATATACTGTTTTATATGCTGCTTCATGTCGCAAGTGATACGGAATTTGCAACCATTAAATCCTCAATTGACAACTACAGTAGTACTGATATACCTTGATTGTAAAGTATAGGAAAGAAAACTGAGGCACAAGCAATAACTGCTTTCTCAAATTATACTATTCTGTAATGTTTTCTTCAGCAAAGCCAATATAAAATAATGACACATTAAACACACATAACCAATCAAAGACATCAATGCACTTAATACATAACATACCTCATCTTCCTGACTAAGGCTGTCGTCTTTCTGTTTAGCCATGTTTTCTTCAATTTGATTTGATAATTCATTAATTAAAAGTTTATAAATCTTAACTAAAACAGGTACTGTTGTCCACTGTGTAGGAGCTACAAAAAAATCCAAAAAAGAAGTTATATATGTCTAGGTTGATATTGCACATTTTTTAATTATATCTCATATAAAAATTTCAGTACAGGCTATAATTTTTAGTTTCTATATGTGTAACATATAGGAGTAGAGCTGTTCCTTTGCTTTTTTTGTTTTTTGCTGTGCATATAGTGATCTTGTGTTATTGATGGATACCCCATATCCCTTTTTTTCCTATCAGATAAACAATAAGTTTATAAAAGTTGCAAGATTATATGTATTTTCAAAATTTAAAGGCTCCAATTAATAAATTATGTAAAGAACTTCCTACTTTTATTGCGAACCAAATGAAACTTTTCCACAGAGTCATCTCCTCTTGGTCAATCTATTTAAACTTTTGTCAGTTCTATTGTACCATTGAATAAATACAATAGCTATTGTTCTCTGTGTAGTTTATTCACTGGGACCTTTCAATTTCTTCCAAGAGAAATCCATCACTCATTGATTAATTTACCTGAGTAAAAAAATCATCTTCTAAAAGATGAAAAAACACGTTTTAACTCACAAACGGCATGTGATTTTGTATTTATTCAATATCAATAATATATTTTCAATTTGTTCACTGTAAACAGTGATTCAACATAAATAGTTTATTTTTGACAAAATTTTCAACATTGTTCCTTTTGAAATTTTTTTTTTGCTTGTGCTTGACAAATAAAAACTGGAAAATGATGATGTTTAAGTAAAGGCCTTCTTAAATGTATTTTATAACTAAACAAAAACATAAAGTGATGGATTTCTCTTAGAAGAAATTTAAAGGTCCCAGTGAATAAACTACACAGAGAACAACAGCTATTGTATTTATTCAATGGAACAATAGAACTGACAAAAGTTTAAATAGATTGACCAATAGGAGATGACTCTGTGGAAAGGTTTCATTTGGTTTGCAATAATATTGATTTAATGTTGACTTACTGTGTTTAGTTTTTGACCTAGTTCTAATTTCGTTAGTTTCTGGTTCAATCTGATCTCCTTGTACTGTAATATCCTGTAGTCTTTTATCATTACTTTGAATTGTATGAAGTAACAGCTTGCTTAAAGCTATTGCACTAAAAACAAATAAAAAGAGGTCGTCTTAAATACATTTTGAATATCAAGCATGTACTCCAAAATCATTCAGATTTAGCAAAACATACTGAAATCTTCAGCAACAATTACTTTCATAATTTTTGCGATGTTTTTATTATTGCGACTGGATAGGTTTAGCAAAAATAAATCTCACATTTTGAATTTTGATAGCATTATTTGTATGCAACATTTCCTGAAATCACAATATTAAATCTATGATTTTTCAACAATCACAAAATATATGCACGCAAAAATTTCTGAATTTTCAGTACTTATGTTTATGGTTTTTTAAGTTGTACTTAATGCTGTAAGACAAATCAAACTAGGAAAAAAAAGATAAGCATGGAACACTTATATTCTATAAAATTGTACTTGATGACTTGGTTTTACTTAAATCTCAGACAAATAATATTTAAATGACAAGACTACAGAAAGAAATATATTTTCCTTTTTCCTTACATGCTATATACCCACCATCAAATTATTCCATATACACAATAAATAAAAATCTAGATTTTTGCTAGAATATTAAATTATTCCATTTTTTTTTAATTTTAAAAACTGTTCCATATCAAACATAAAATATCACTTAAAAATGAGGTTTGTAACCTATACATTTTAATTTCAGTTCCATTTCTTAACAAATAATATCAAGGACATGCTTTAAGCTTTTATCAAACATTTTTAAAGTATCTTTGGAACTTACCAAACTTTTCTTTCATAAGAACCAAAGAAGAGATGTTGTCTTGAACACCATTCTCGTAATACAAACTGTAATGCTGGTTTTCCCATTGGATCTGGTACACTAGTTAAAAATTCTAAAACAGCTTCTATCTGTGTGTTGATCAGCTGTGCAAATACTATTACTAAACTCTGAAATATACATCATAACCATAAATCTCTAAACTGAAAGCTTAACTTATGATACTAGATTCATGAACCATATTCGATTTATATTACTTTCTTGACAAGAATGGTTTTATACATACACATCATTTTGTAACTTGAATTTCTGAGTATATATCATTGAAAAATTTCTTGAAATGTTCATGGAACATTTTACATATCCTATATTTTGATAATCTCAAAGGTAATGATAAAATCTGGAAAATTGATAACTATCAAGCCAGCTACATAAGGGTTTTCACTGCATGAATGCAATCTTTACCCTAAAAATGAAACAATGATAATTCAATTGACAATAATTATACCTGTATCACAGTAAGTGTTTCTGCTTGTTGCATCTTACTCAGGACAGCTCTCAACATTAGATCTAAATTCTCTCCAAGCTGACTACCAACTTTACCAATCACAACCGAAACTAATCGACCAACAAATGATGCTGTGTGTTCAGATGTCTTAGGATCTAACAATTTGGATATGACTTGAATAATATAGTACAATCCATTGTGACCTGAAAATGTATACATGAGAAATAAAAATCCTCCATTTTTTTTTTATAACAAGAAGTTGCAATTTGAAAAGTCTTTCCCTTTTGCTAATGTGGCTAAAATGTTTTCTCAGTAGATACATCACTTATAAATATTCAATTCTGAAATACCTTTTAAAATTGTCATATTGGCTAATTCAGGGGATCTACTAAACATGTGTTATAAAGATACTGATCGGATATTAGCAGGAACTAATAAAAAGTAACTCTTCTTATATATATATTCAAACCTGTGAAACAACACCTGGTTAATTAGGGTATATCAGGTTTCATTGAGGTGGATATCAAAGGTATGCAGTGTGTCCTAATTCAATGTTCAATTGAAATTATAAGTAAGGACACAACACTTCATAGAAATGCAGGCATAATTTATTTCAAATTGACATGTTTCAGTTCTTGAAGCTGTCATCAGGATAAATACATTTAGAAAATGTTCATACTTGAGGCAAAATATTTTTTCGGCTAAGGTTAAGGATTTGGCTCATATTCAAACATCTGTTTCAAAGATGATTTCAAAATGAGGCCATTCAGGCAGTTTTTCAGTAAGTGCTGGAAGTTTGAAGCTCTTAAGAAATATTTATGACACTACTGATATCTCAAAGTCTTAGGTTCTGTGAATGTCTGAAGGAATGTTACTTGAAAAATTTTGAATATCTCAGATTCAATTTCAATATCTGACCTAAAATAAAAAAGAATATTTACTTGTTCTTGCCTACCTTGTTCATCATGCCAAACCATAACTTGTTCTAAACCAACAGAGGCAAAAGCTCGTAAACATTCTCCTCCATTCTGTAAAAATAAAAAGATTCATTATAAAATTAACATAATTCAATAAAAGAAGAAACTGTTAAATTAAGATGGTATTTCCCTGATAAAGATGTAACGAAAATTTCGTACATGGCCACTATGTGTAAGAATATATATAGAAATTCTGTAAAGAGGAAGGCGATGAGTATGGCATACTTGTAAATGCTCTTTTGTTCCGACGTTGGAAAGTTCCGGGCGGAAAAAACTAACTAGCCGAAAAGTTCCGGAGGAACTTATTAACTAGTTACTTTGTTCCTCCTCTGGTTGAAAAGTTCCACCGGAACAAAGTGACTAGTTGAAAAGTTCCAACGGAACATATCAACTAGTTAGAAAGTTCCTTTTTGCCAAATTACTCAAACCGGAACTAACAAACTAGCCCAAAAGTTCCAACGGAACTTATCAACCAGTCACAAAGTTCCATTTGGAGAATTGATGCAAAGTAAATGCGCAACATATTATCTTTGAATCTTTTCAAAGGGAACATAGATACAAGCCACAAAAGTCAAACGGAACTTATCAACTAGTCACAAAGTTCCTCTTTGTCAAATAAATCTATAACGGAACTAACAAACAAGTCAAAATTACCAACGGAAAATATCAAATAGTCAGACATCTACATTCAGAGAATTATCTAAAAAAGGGAAGAACATATCATCATTGAACTTTTAAAAAACGGAACCAAGTGACTACAAGACACTAGCCACAAATGCAAAACGGAACTTATCAAATAGCTACATAGTTCCTCCTTCATCGGCGAATTATCCCAAACTGGAAATAGCAAACTAGCTTAAAAGTTCAAACGGAACTTATCAACTAGTCACACAGTTCCGTTTATATTGTTGTTGTTCCAAGCAATAACAAAACTAAAATACCATAACCTGATTATCATAACTTATGTTTTATAATAATGTTGAATCAGAATCTCATTTTTAGATAGTAATTTATAACGGAATTTTTCAACTAGTCAGAAATTTCCCCACAATTTTGAAAAAAAACCTTGAACAATGTTACAACATTAAAAATGAAAGTGAATAAATATTTTTTTTATATTATTTTTTTCATATTATTACAATAAAAAAAGTTTAGATGCTAAATACTGTTAGTTATATATATAAACATGATTACGGTTCAAAATGCATGATTGGTATTTAAACTGACATTTCACTGGAATGCAGGTTTCATGGTTCAGCACACGTGAGTACATTTCAGAAACAACAAATGCATATATAAGATGAGTGTTATAGTCAGTAAAATCACAGAAATGGAAGTTTCAGATTACGAGAAGCTCGTTCTGTACTTGTCGGAGAAAAAATATGACGAAGCTGCAACAGAAAGCGAGAAGAGAAGAATACGGAAACGGTCGAAGTTATTTCAAGTTGACAGAAACAAAAGTTTGATGTATATCAACAACCAGGAGGGTCAAGAGACTATGAGAACTGTCATCACCAGAGAAAGAAGAAAGAGTGTAATCAAGCTAATGCACACAGGACACCTTGGCAGGGATAAGACTTATGAAAAATGCAATTCAAGGTAAGATTATTTTAATCCATACGGTAATAATAACATAATGACATAATCTTTTCTTACATTCATGTATTAAACGATTAAAAAACGTTTGTAGTACAAATGGATAATTTCTAACAAAAATGATGAAAATTATTGCCAGTGTTTTTGTACACGCTACATGGAAAGTCACAAGAAATATCTCGCTGATCGTTTTCATTAGTGTGTGGCGAACGGCCTACGGCCATATGAAATTTCAAACTCAAAATTAACAAAAAGGGGATTGGGGATAGAAAATGGACCCAAAACTCCAAAAACAAGCAAAATGATAGCACTGCATTTTAGAGTCTATGGTACTTCAAATCGAATTGCTTGAAATATGGTGTTAAGTATAGACCTCAACAATGGTAAAATATGGAACGCCAACACTGTCTCGTTATGACCATTTTCATTATATGATGTGTATTTACCTTTATATGATGTGCACTTGTCATTATATGATGTGCAAACACCTTTATATGATGTGCAAACATCCTTATATGATGTGCAAACATCATTATATGATGTGCAAGCATCATTATATGATGTGCAAACATCATTATATGATGTGCAAACATACTGATATGATGTGCATATATACTTATATGATGTGCATATATACTTATATGATGTGCAAATATACTTATATGATGTGTAAATGTACTTATATGATGTGCGAATGTACTTATATGATGTGCAAACATTCTTATATGATGTGCAAACATTCTTATATGATGTGCAAATGTACTTATATTATGTGCAAAGATCCTTATATGATGTGCAAATATACTTATATGATGTGCAGATATACTTATATGATGTGTACATATCATTATATGATGTGCAGTTACCATTATATTGTGTGCAAATATCTTTATATGATGTGGTTGTGTCATTATATTATGTGCTTGTAATCTTATATGATGTGGTTTGGTTTACTTCATTATATGATGTCGAAACGTCATTATATGATGTGCTTTCATCGTCGTTATGGTCAATGAACATGATTACGATTAGAATGATTACTGTCTACGTCATAACTGATTCCGATCTGCTTCTGTAAACTATAAACCCAGCTCAAATATATGTCTATCGATAGCGAGAGTGCAATTAATAGGAAAAATGAGACAATGCAATTTAACAAAATCAACGTTTCAAACATTTCGGAGGGAGGTTAAGATCAATTAATACAGGACCTAATTGGAGAAATTTGCGGCTGTGGCGAAAATATGATAAAACAAATTTTGAGGCTCTTTATAGCTTGCTATTTGGGTTAAGCAAATGCTACGTGTTGAAGGTAGTACTTTGACCTATGATTGTTTACTCTTACAAATTATGACTTGGGTGGAGAGTTTTCTCATTGGCTCTCATACCACATCTTCTTATTTCTATTCATTGCAAAATGCAGCATTGAACTCACAGTCAGTTTTAAAAATATTTCACAACAATAGCTATATAATTATCTACTCGTGCATAATATGGCGAGATGGTTTGTTTTATAAAATGTTATTGAATAATATAAATGGTAAGATGTATAATGTAGTGTTACTCCTACAAAACCATACAAAGTCGGAAATATTTGTGATATGACGTATACATGTAGTGTTTTGTACTTCCTTAATTTGTCTTTGAAACAATCTTTTTTTCACAGAAAAAGCCAAAATATCCAAATTTGGAGACCGCATGCTTAGTCCACGTACTGCCCGCGAAATGCGAAATGGTCAGGTTGGGTAATGTTCACATATTTGTATATACAGATTGTTTATTTTCAACTTATTTTAATGGAGATTTTTTTAATTGCTAATAAAATTCTGCAACTTTAGTACTAGTATGACAACAGATTTGGAGTGGCGTCAACGGTTTCTGAGATACAGAGGGGTTGATTCCTGGTGAAGTGTTTTGGATTTTATTTTTCATCCGATTAGATGGGATTTTTTTCATTGTGTACTCATTTTGATCCTTTTCGGTAATGTCAAAGGATTTTACGTAGTTCATACGGTTATTTAGTTAAAAGGTAAAAAACCCACTGAAAATCACACTTTGCCACACTTTTTCAATTTAGGGTATTTGATATTTTTATTTTCCAACAGAGATGAATGGGGTGATGCCCGTCTTTTGCATTATGTTCCTTGTTTTCGTCTCTTTAAAGAAAAAGAATTAAATGCATTAAACGTGTCAAAATCCTTACTGTGTCCACCTTATTACTGTGTCCACACTCTTTGTTTCAACACTTGCCCAATTGTTCCGCGCTTTCGCTGGCATTTTCTAGTAATTATGATTCGAAATACTTTGCTTGCTTGTGACAATGGTGTTCGACAAGGAGTAAACTTATCACCTTTTCTATTTTCTTTACTTTTGATTGACTAAAAAAATTCTTAGTGAGTAAAAATATTACAGGACTTAACAGAACTATACCAGAAGATCTGGAAAGAGAATTAGAAATATATCTTAAAATTTTTATACCTCCTGACTAAAGACTTTTGAAACCTCTCTCTCTTGTTTTGTATATATTGTAAAGTTATTATTGTTATCTCTGCACTGATGTCATACATTGGCTTTATGAGAATAAAGATATAGATTTAGAGGCCATAATTATACCGGTATGGATGATTGATTGATTAATTTGTTGATTGATTTATATTTATCGCCACTTTAAACACTTTCATGCTATTTCGTGGCGGTGAGTTTATATTGGTGGAGGAAGCCGAAGTTCCCAGAGAGACCACCCAACCTTCGTTTGGAATACTGACAATTCTGGTCAATTAAGATAGGAGTCGAGCTTACCTGCCACATGCGGTATTCGAACTCACACACCTAAGTGTCGACAGACAAGTGATACAGTAGTTCGACTATTCACACCACTCGACTAGCGAGCGCCCATCTCTTTCATCCGAAATGCTTTAAAGGAGATATGGAATGAACTTCAACTCGGTATTTTTCATTTGCTTTCAGCTTTTTATTGTGTTTTCGTGCATATATTTCACAACTTCAATATAGATGGTTATGGATGGATACTTGATGTGCAGCGGCAAATTGATATGCATATTCGTACAAGAACATGTTACAGCTATTTTCCTGATGTATGTAGTTTAAAGGTTTGGTTGGCTTGCTTGCTTTGTTTGTATAAATGTTTGTTCAAGCATTCAATAACATCATACAAGCTGAAACCCAGCCTATCTGTTGATTAGAATTGTAAAACTTAATTAAAATGCATGAGAAAACAGTTATAAAAACAAAGCAATCAAGCCAATCAAACCTTTAAACTACATGCATTAGGAAAATAGCTGTAATGTGATATGAATATTAACCCTGCTTTGTACTAGACCGACACCGTGGCCTGAGCCGGATTTTTAACATGCTAGTTCACTAGGCTACTTTCCGAAGGAAGACATGTCACCTTTCCCGGACAAATTCTTCTGATTCCGAGCCGACCAGCTTTT